TTAAGTAATAGTTTTACACTTATCCGATAAGTTAAATATTATTTCAGAGTAAGTATATACCTCAGTTGGTTTTTATGTTTATTGTACGAAGATCGGCCATTTTCATTACGTTCATAGCAGTAAAAAATTAATTTTGTACACACTAAGTACACCTTCTTGTCAAATTTGAAATGCATACCTTTTTTATTTTAAAATGTTTTTAGTAAACATCTTGTATGTTTTTATATAGTGAATTATGTTTTAACAAAAAAAAAAATTAGTTTTCCCTGAATAGTTTCACAGAGTTCAGGGACACCTTGTCTATGCATAATCATGTTCATGCGAGTGTCAGTATCTATTTATGATAGAATAAAATTTTTACGATTTTTAGGATTAATTAGATCTTTGCCATTAAAGCAATTGGATTAGGCGATCCTTGAATTTTTTTTTTTAAAGTGGGAATCACTGGATTACCACATTATTTATAGTTTTACAGAATTGTTAATAATTAATTTTAAGTTGCGTGACTCTTGACTAAAACTGAGTAATATCTGGTCAGAAAAGACAACAAGAATTTCTCCTGCTTTTATTTTCTCGTTTATAGATCGGCGACATCCTTTAATAAATTTTCTATTAAAAAATATTTATATCGAAGTGAATGTGCAACCGACAGAAACGAAAGTGCTCGTAAAAGTTCACGGCCCGGATGGTGTTACGACTTCTTGCCACTTCTAATAAACGGATGAGAGATCTTCTAGGGTCAACGCCTCATATTATTTTTTCATTGGTATAATTATGAATACTAAATTAATATTATTTTCAAGAAAAATCGATATAAAAACAGGTACCGAATATTACAAAATATGACGTAATATTAATATATTTTTAGATCACATTCTTTATATATGTTGTGATTACATTGCTTATATATTTTTCATGTTTTATTTCTTGTAATTTAAAGAACACGTTTGAAAAATCAAAACCCTTATCAGAACACGTGTATCTTAATATATTCATTATCTAACGTTAAATAAACAAAATTCAATTATAGACTGTTATCTACAATTTATCTCACCAGTGCGTCCATTGAAAGCTCAAATCAAACTGATAACAAATTAAAAGTAAATAATTATACAAATAAATACTGGATATTTCTGGAAATAAGTACAGTAGAACTTTATTTAAATGGCGATAAAAAAGGAAAAAAAAAAAATCAATTTACAAGTCATATTACTTATCTTTGGTGTTATATTATTTAAATGATTTTTGGCCAAAGTTCACCAAAATTTCTTTTTTTTCTTAACATCCTTTTATTCTAGGCATCAAGAGCCATTTTCAATTATAAACAATAATGCATCTTCTCTATATTTGTCTCACTTTTCAAACATAATTCGACCTAACATATTGTCTGTATTCTTTTTCAGACACATTTCATTTATATTACGGATTTATTGATGTTAGCGATTTACTTGGCTCTTAACGGATGAATGAGAAAATGCTAATGACCTTTGACCAAAAATCATTCAAATGATAAACAGAAAGTTTATATTTTTCACAGTTGATTAGTTTTCGCTATCATCATATCTAAATAAATCAAACTTAAATTCACAGCCAAATAAAGAGTAAGTTGTTTTGATTACAAACGATCTAGACCTATTGCGATTGTTGTACAATGTAGTAATAATATTAGCATTTGTACTATATATTATCATTTGGTTTTAGACACTATCTTTTTTCCTCTCTAACACGGTGTTGGGTTGACATACAATTTTGAATAATATCTCATTACAGAGAAGACAAAATGCTGAACATTTTCCACTCTTACAGTATATAAGTCCGATTTTTAATATCTGAAATATTTTAACCCATATATTCAACTAACCTCGTTATCATTTGGTTTTCCTCATTATTTTATCCTTTTCGTCCCTCTAACACGGCGTCGCGTTAAGGTACAATTTTGAATTATATCTTATTACAGAGAAGATGAAATGCTGAACAATTTTCTCGCATACAGTATGCAGGCCCCATTTTTGGTTTCTGAAATATTTTGAACCAAGTGTGAAAACATTTCAATTAGTCGACTATACCCGAGCTTTAAAATCTGACTGATCAATCTAATTCACTCTCCAAAAAAAAGTGCATAAAGCGTCTGAAGAAGAGTTCTTTATAAAAAAAAATGTTCAGGATGAAACCCTCCCAAATTTAAATATGGATCTTTTATAGTCCAAAGGTACAGTCTATTGGAATTAGTAATCATGGTTTGGTTTATTATTTTAAATGGAACACATTCATACAACAAAGAAGAAGAAAATTAATATATAGCATTTACTTATTTCCATTAATTAATTCAAAATCAATTTCTATTGAATTTATAGTGGCGCGTTATGCACCGCATTACATTTTTTTTATTTTATTTAAGTGTATCTAATATAATTAATAAGTATTTAAATGTTTATCTAATATACATTTTAAATTAGCATTAGAGGTTTCGTTCTACACTTCGGATCATTAACGGATTCAGGATCCAATTTTGGGGGGCTTCAGCCCGAAAGATAATTATTTGTAGGTATATATTACGATAATTACTTCGGAAGAAAGAAAGGAACTAACTACCTGTATGAAATGGCGTTTAAGTGATGATTTAAGTTTTTGGTTGTGATTATTAAATTTAATGGATTATTTAACTCAACAATAATACTTTTAAAGATTTTTTTTTATCATAAAGCATGGCTATATTTTATCATTTTGGGGGAACTTCAGCCCGAAAGCCCTACCTCCCCTCCGTAGATACCTCTGTGCTCCGGATGAAAACTCTTGACTTAAACGGCGATGGCTCAGTTCCGACTAGAATGGATAAACGGGTTTATCATGTACTTCACAATTTATTAACACTAAAGTTTTGGTATTGAAACATTGAAAAATTGTAGTTTGTAGTTTTTATTTTATTTTTTCCATAATAATTTTGATTAAAAATGCTGTTTTTTTTTGTTTTCGGTTTTGTAAACATTTGTTTTATAAACGCCACAGGCGGATGCACGCAGGGAACCTTTCGGGCTAAAGCCCTCCTTCCCTCCCCAAATGGTAAAATATAACCGTGTTTTATGAAAAGAATTATCTCTAAAAGTATTATTGTTCATCTAATAACATTTAATAGGACTTATAGAATCACCTAAACATCATGTCATATAGGTAATTAGTTTCTTTCTTTCTTCCGAAGTAATTCTTCTAATATATACATACAAAAAAAAAATCTTTCTGACTGAAGCCCCCCACCCAAAATTAAATCCTGGATCCGTTACTGATAAACGCAATACGTAATACAAACATGGCATTAGAATGTTGTATTACATCATTGTTTCACCCTCAATCATGATCTATAGTTGTGCTTCTTAACGTGTTTTAGGCACCATTTTATTCATAACACTTTTTAAAGTGGGAGATTTTGAATCCTTCATCGAACTCTGATCGTTTAATCTATATTATATCGTTTCCTTATGTTGGTTGTACAAAACGCTTTCTCATGACTCTTGAAATGTTCATGGACTCTAATAATTTCTGAACTGGTGACCAAGGTTTAACGGATTATTCCAATATCAGTTTTTTCAATCAGCTAACCGTTGAAATTCAGATAAAATCAGATTGAATTATTCAGAAACTATGAAATTAGAATAGCATTATTAATTAATGCCATTATTAATATAACAAGAATCAGTTTGTAAGTACCCAATTTTAACTAAAAGATTATTATTAAATTTTATTCCCGTTCGAATTTAAGATAGATCGTATATGAAATATGAAGTAATATTGAGATAAAAATATTACAGCTTGTAAAGATTCAATTGATGTAATTAATCTATATATAAGTGAATGCCAGCTAGCACTGTATGCCACATTTAATACAATTGAATTTAATCCTAGGATTAATATTTCCTAAATGAAGTTATCTGTAATCAATCAACTTATGTCGAAAATTTACAACAAATATTTGAAGTGATTTAAGCTCGACACATTTTATTTAGTGCAATTGATCAGTCTCTTAACTAAAATATTTTTATATTTTATTATATTTGACTATTAAAATAGTTATTATATTTGACATAATAACTTTACCTTTGAAATATCCTTTATTGGTAGACCTTGTGCAGTAATGTAGGTTGACATTTTGTTTAGAACCATTTCAGTGTTGCCAATAATTTTGTTTTTCCTAAACACCAAATTGTATTTTTATACTTTATTTAAATTTTGTTTTTTTTTCGGAATTTAATAGGACTACTGAAATACATACTCTGCAGAACTATATATAGATACCGTACTTAAAAAGAAACTAAATTTGAAAAAAATCCTAATGTAAACTAAATTAGTTTAAATTCTAAATCATTATTGATCTTACAAATTATTTTAATTTAATCAGATTACATATGCCTTAAATATATAAATACCTACAAATAATAATATTTCAAGACTTTCATACTTTTTGATTAAATGAGAATTTATTTATTTTTGTTTTAAGATCTACACAATTATACGTGTTTTGACTTCTTTTAGGGCGATTCTTCATTGTTTCGGAAGTCAACAATGACATAAGTAACTTACATATAATTCATGATTCTTTGTCTTAGATGATAAATAGACAGAAATCACTCATGTTTTATTACTTATGTCTTTTATGTAAATATTATTATATTGCTTATATAATAAAAACAAATTGAAATTTAATTCTGACTATTTATTATACCAGATAAATCAGCATACAAGTCAACTAAATAGACTTACAATCCGCTAATACAAGCCATATGAAGGACTATGCCCAGTTGGTTGTAGTAAAGAGAACCATAATAAACTAGTTGCTTCCGGAATATTGAGAGCCCATTTTATCCTGAGAGAAGATGAGATTGGCCTTGCCAATTAGAATTATTGCCCTTCAGAATAGAAATTATACTTAAAATTAAAAAAAAAAAAAAATAGGAGCTAAGATGATATTAATGAGAAGGGTTTCGAAACAAGGTAGGGGAGGAAAAGAGGGGCGGTATAGATCGATTGAGAAAGGTGTCTGGATCGAGGAGGCAGGGGCCGGTTGTTTACAAAAGCTGCCTGACCTTGTTTGTGTCTGGCGAGGAGGGGGTGCGCACGCTGCAGGGAACAGCCACAACAGAATAGTAGGGGGCAGCCGTACAGAACAGGGAACAGCCGATTCTGACGTCATTCATAGCTCGGGGCATGAGGGCATTTCATGAATAACAACATCAGAGTGGACCGTCTTAGCCATCATGGACTCGTTGCGGGAGCAGGTCATGATAAATCAGTTCGTTTTAGCTGCCGGCTGTGCAAGAGAACAGGCCAAACAGCTACTCCAGGCTGCACATTGGCAATTTGAGGTAAGTTGCAATTTGTAAACAAACAGATCCTCTTAGAAAATGGCCGGCGGCCTAGGCTAATACAACAGCCCGGCCATTGAAGGTCATTTAGGTCTTTCTTTCTTTTTAATTCTTATATTTTGTCGTGAGTCAGCCTACCTCTGAGGGCCCTAACTGTAAATAAGGGCTACAGCTTCTGTTATAAAAAATATAACGGTTCTCCCGAACGGAGATCGATTAATGTTATCGTTATTTTCATAAAACTTTGATTCAAAACAAACCAGATTTTACAAGATAATGTGGCCTCTCTACTTCTGGCACACAATCTGGATTGATATTATTGTTCTATAACTGCATGTTGATAAAGTTTCATCATGCACATTGCATGTGAAATATTTGTATTACCAAAATTTTACTATAATCTAAGCCATCTTAAATTTGCCTCTGTCATATTATAAAAAGGCAATTCTTACAAATTTTCTCTATACTAATACTGCTTATATATAATAAAAATGATCAACTTTTATTAATCCAATGCACAAAAAGATCAGCTTATTTTATATCTTGGTTTATATAAATTTTATTGATTTAATGCTAGTATTATTTTGATTTAGTTTAGAAAATATCTGATATATTATTTTCATAATTTCTAGACTGCGCTGAGTATATTTTTTCAAGAAGCAGCTCTCCCACCAACACATTTTGGCCAGGTTAGTTATTTATGTTTCTTAATTCTGAGTATTTATATATTTTCCTTCCAACAGCCTGTAGGATTAGTGAACTTTCACAATGGGACTATTCTACTATTTTTTTCTCTCTTTCCATTAAATGGTATCAATATAATTTGTATTTGTTTTTATATTATTGTTTACATTTTATGAATCAGTGTTATAAATGGCCATTGGTCTATATTTGGTTAACTCCCTGGGTTCTAAATTATTGTTTGTTTTCTTTACATATAAAGTGGGGAAAGTAGAATGGCATTGTGGCCAATGTTAGTGACATGTGCAGTAAGTCCCCTCATACCAGATACATTGTTGGTTTATGGCAAGTGTCAATGCCCTGTACCTATCACAGGTTTCTACCAATCTCCTACCTCAGCAATCAATATGGAGGAGACCCATTTATTTTTAAATTGAGGCAATACTTTTCCTCTCTGTTAAAATTAGAATGATTGTTCTTTTTTTTGTATTTATTTTTGTTCATTATGTAATAGAACTTTCTATTTATTACTTTTTAAGTCTGAACAAATAAAGTTATGTATACAAACCTTGTTTTCTAACTATTTAATTGTATCTATTTTAATTCTTTACTTTTTATTAGTGTACTAGTGTTTTTTTTAATTGTTTTCGTTTATTTATTTCTTGGTTTTAATTTTTTAACATAATTAATTTTCTATTAAATGATTTTATAAATCATTATTAAGTTCATTTTTTTTTTTATATTTGTGATTATGAGCCCTGTTGAAATGCCAAAGTAAATGTAAATCTTATATAACATGTTTTCAATTGGAAACTTTTCCTTTGATAATGTTCTCAAACATCATTTTTTTGTTATAAAGATATTGAGTTCTTACTATCAGCTGAGGGTATTACTTATGAGACCTTTTATGTAGACAATTATTTCAACCTAAATGAGAGTATTAATTTTTATACAAAGTAAAACAAAAATAATTAGGCATTTCTTTGTTATGTTAATGGTTTTCAGTGAATTATGTACCTTTTTTGTCTGTTAATGGGTTTTTTCTTATTGATGTTATCATAACAAACATGATGAAATGTTTGGAAACTCTATTTTCAACCCATATCTCCCGGTTCAGGATAGTAGGGAACTAACAACAGTTGATAACAGTATAGAAATTATCTTGCTTTACCACAAACCATATCTTTTTCATGTGTTCTCGTATTTCCTTTTCATAATTTTGTTTTTAAATTGTTACAAAACCTAATTTTTAAATCTTACGTCTCATTTCAGAATATTAGGAACTACAAATTGATAATTTTTATTTTACTTAAGCTAGAAGTAAATACATTAAAAATTATTATTAAATATGACTATTTACTTAGTTAACTAAAAGTCGGTTGAAAAATATCCTTAAAAAAAAGAAGTTATGATTAACCAATGTTGTGGACTATGTTTAACCAAATCAAACTATCTTTTTTTTTTTGTATATTTCATTAAAGTATCTAGAATAAATCATTGATAATTAACAAATCTTTTATAGACGGCCACATACATAAAAATGTGCATCTGACTGTCTTAGTTTCAATAATTGCTTTCTGGTTTGTGATTTATTATTTACATATCGATTTATTTTGGTAATTTTAATATTTTTGTTGATAAATATTTGAGACTTTTTAAACAGTTAGTTTGAACAGGTATAGATTTAAGTGAAGGCTTAAGCATGTCATTTAGGCAGTCTGCCAGACATTGAGTCTGTCTAGGAAAAGTTCCTTGTGCTAAATCTTCCTGTCTCAGTTTACATGCCCATCTTATTCTCATTTAAAATTTTTTTTCCTGGCCAAAAGAAAAAGTTTTTCTTAAGACTTTTTTGGTTCATTGTCAATATCAATCCAATGTTTTTATTTTTTATTCTTGGTCTAGATCGATTCCTTGATCTGATTTATTCATAAAATTGTACTACAATTCATTCACTTTTTGATTTACAATCTTTTCATTTTATTTTTAATTTTAATATTGTTCTTTTGTTGATAATATCTTGTCTTCTCGCTCATTTTTAAAAGCCCACTTCTTTAGTTTGGTGATAAATAGACATTTGGTGATAAACTTTAAATAGTTTGGCCCCGTTTACTAATTCTTTTTTACCTGACCCATATTCAGGTATCTTTTCAGGATGCCAAAATAATTCCTCTTTTAGAACATACATTATTTTAAAGTCTGTTTTAAATAAACGAGTAGTACATATTTATTTCTGAACAATTGAAACACAATCGTATAATTATAAGATAATCATGTAATTAGTTATATTTAATAAAGGATAATTAACTTATGATACTATATTGCCTCAATTAGTGACTTATTTATATATTTTAACTATACCCTTTTAATTTTACATAAATATAAGAATTTTGAAATAAAATATGTTCATTTGTGCCTGTTACATGGACAGTAAGATGGTTATTAATATCTTATTGTAAAAATAAAATTTACAAAGTAGTTGAAATACTAAAAATAAAAAATAAAATATAAAAACAGTCATAATTATTAGAACAAATATTTAAACAATCTTTCTAATATCTTATTTCCTCAATTTTTGTTTATTTTTAGCCCAAGCATTTTATTATGTTATTTGATGAGGTCTGATTTTTCAATTATTATATACAGTTTGTAAATTCGGATACAGGAAAGGTGAAATTAAATTTAAGTGAAGGGCATTAAAAAGTTTATTATTTATACTCTGAAGATTTTTCATTAGACATTTGGCTTAACCTTTTTAGTCTAATCAATAGTTAAATAAAGTATTTAAAAAAACAATTCCAAATTAGTATGAAGATGTTGAAAACTTCTCTGCCAAAACGCCACAAATAATCAACTACCATTTAACCATATAATAGTTTCACTATTTCTTAAGAATTTTAATTAGCAATTTTCAATTGATCATTTGTTTTCTTTGTTTTAATGCAGATAAAATGTAACTCCTGCTGAGTTATCATGTTAGTTATTTATAACTAACTAAGCATTACTTTAATTTTATTTATAAATAAATAAAATGTCAGTTGCAAAATCTTTCTTGTTTAAACTTCTTATTGAAAGAACTTCATATTGGTCATTTTATAGGATCCCGTCCTCAGGTCGATGCTGCAATATTTTTATTAGTAATTTGTTAGGAACTGCTTCTGATAGTTATATTTTCATCTATATGTAATAATTTTTTTTTTTCATTTAGATAAATAAATGTCATATAAATATTTCCAATAATTTATTTATTTTTTTAATACATTAAAAAAAAAATAACTCATCGTGTTTCAATATTTCATTGAGAATTGAGATATCTCATAATAATTTAAATATGTAATAAATAATTATGTATAAAATTATAAGCCTGTTTTTATTAAAAATTACATGGAATTAAATGTTGCATTCTGTTTTTCTCTTCTGCTGTGTCAACTTGTAAAAAAATGAAAACTAATTTAAAAGAATTACTGTATAATATTAGATTTGTAGTATCGGATTTTTCAAGATTATGTTGAATAAACGTTATCTTGAACTGTGCTTATGATTTTTTTTTTTTTTTTTTTTTTTTCAATGACAAAATGTTTATTTTTCATTTCAATTACACCAATTCCTATATCTTCATTAAGAATGTGTCTTTTTAATTCTGCGACAGTATATTTGATTATAGTTCATTAAAAACATTTTATTTTTATTTTTATACATCTGTTCCTAAGTTGTTATAGTGTGCTTCTTACGTTGACTTTTAATTTAGAAGTTATTTGTGCTTTTCTATAACCCTCTACTCATTTCTCAATTACCTTATAAAAGTAAAACCTTATGACAGAGAGGATGTTGGTTATTGATCCATAACCTAGTTCAAATTTAAAAGATAATAAAAATCTAAGATCTGCTTATTAAAATATATTATATATATATATGTGTGTGTTTTCTATGATATTATTTACACTTCTATTATTTTAATATCCACAGAAGCAAAGTTTTAAATGTCTTGTAGGAATAATAATTTAGTTTACATAATTACTACTGCAAAACTAAAATTAATGTACAATTATTTTTATGTTTGGTCTGGGATTTTTTATTAAATGAGAAATTATATATTCTCTGGTTAATATATAAATTAGTTATACTTTATTTATTTAATTTTTTATCTTATTAAAATGTTAAGCTTATAAAGAGTTAGGAATTAATATGAAGGCCTTTCATTAATCCTTCCAACATCTTTTTACATTTATATTTTTCTGTTTTCTTTACTTTTTTTAATTTTTCTGATTGTAGGATTTTGAAAATCAGTACTGATTAATTAATTAGTACCTGATCACTTGTAATGGATTATATTATTATTATCAATTAAATTTTTATTATGTAAGTTAAATACTGTTTCATAGTGTTTAAACACTTATTTTTAAAAAATGTAATGTTTTACATTATTTAAAATTAATTATTGGTTATTATTATTTTAAAATGAATGTACACTCAAAATTTCTTCAAAATACCTTATGTATTTTCTTATTTTTATCATATATATTCAGTGGCTTACAATCTAATTATTAAAAAAGAAAGTCCAAGATGAAGGTCGTTATATGTTTCCTTGTAACAGATTTTCTGTACGTAAATGTTTACTATTTTGATTCATTCATAAACACAGATGAACAAACATGGTGTTGCTATCTGAAGTTCCATATTGTAAACATTTTCTAATTATTTGGATCTCATAATTAGCAGCCAGGTGTCGACAATTAATTTTTTTTTCTAGAAAGGGATTGGTCGTGTTTTATGTATACTTAAACAGAAAAAAGCTTTTGTTGTCAGTTGTTACTAATATCTTATTAGTACCAGTTCTTAAAAAATAAAATACTAATTAGTTTTTGAAAACAATTCAGCTTTGACCTGCCTTTTTAGTGGATTAATAGAGTTATGATATTGTATGTTTTTTCAACTTTAAATTTTTAATAAGGCAAACATTTTAAATACTACATGTATTTATTCATAATTTGTATAATAAATTTCTATTTTAGTTGTTAGTTTGAGATATGCTATTTTAAAATATATTACCTCATCTTGAAACTAACTTTCTATGACTTACAATATAATTACTAAAAATATGGTTGTTACAGATTTGCACACCATGCAATACTCCTGCCACACCTCCTAATTTTCCTGATGCATTGATGGCTTTCTCCAGGATGTCTACATCAGATAAGCCTAGTGCAACAGGTATGGTTAATGTTTTATTGACTGTATCTACACCTGAATAATAATGTTAATAAAATAATTTGCAGAATTTGTATATAATTATTATTGTGCGTCTATTTGTGTTAACACCCTCCTATTTTTTTAAAAACTAAATGCAATGGGTTTTTTGTTCTAAATTTTGGAAGTTCTTTGAATAATTTAATTTTTAATATGAAGAATTAATGATTTTCTGCTTAGATATATCTAGAAATGTAAAATCTGCCTGTGGCAATTTTTTTGAACTTGAATAAAATATTTATATTTTTTTTATTCAATAAGAAATGTAAGTAGCTTAGAAAGACTGGTTGCTTTTGCAGTAAAAAATATGCAATAAGAATAAGCAGGAAAAAGAGAACTAGCCAGTTACTCATGGTGCTTGTATTGTATTTTTGTATATTATTCTATTATGTCTTATGAGTGGTTGCCAGGGGGATAGTATCAGGTATTCATGTTTGTATAAGCTTTAGGAAGTTAAATATGTATAAAAACACATTTTTGGGAAATTACAAAAATATAGAGCACAGAAGATTTATAATGACTAGTTTTATAGATATATCGAATATTGTATATTTTAAAAATTCATTTGGATGTAGCATTATAGTTTACCTTTGTTTCAGAAATAACCAAATCTCTAACAGTACTATAATTACGAACCAAATACTTACCCAATAGGTGTCCTCTGTAGTATTTATGGATTTAGCCAAAAGTTATCGTAGAACAGATACAATGAATCAGATAACTATTGTTTAGGTTGTTGTTGACCTAACTATGGATTAAGAGCAGTTTCTGCTATTAAATAAGCCAAGTCTAGCCTTTGACATGTTCCTCTGATTTTGATTTTTTTTTTTTTTTTTAAGTTATGATGAAAAATTGCTGTAGTGAAATTAAAATCAGCATTTTCTTGAATCATAAATTGATAAATAATGAGTTATTTACAATATGGACTAGGAGCCTATTAATGATCTTCTAGTTGATGTTTATCATCCTATGGGAGTTATGTGATTTACTAAATTAGTCGTGAGTGTCGACTTTAACCGCTAATGAAATACAAAATATTAATTTAAGAGGGAAAGAAAAAGCATTATTTTTTTTGTGTGTGTAAAATAAGTATGTCTAGTTTATTAATTATAAGGAAAAAAGAAATGACTTTTTTTATATGCATCTAAATTATATATACAGTAATAAAAACAATTTGTTGTTTTTGAAAAACAGTTATAACAAATTAGATCTTGCCTTTAAAAAATAATATAAATGATAGAACTAATTTAAAGATAAAATTCTGTATTTTAATTGATTACCTTCTGCACTTGAATGTGATGATTTAGTCAATTTAAAATAATCTTTCCATATCACCTCAAATGGGTCCTCAGTATATTTGTATGTTCTCAACTCTGTTTGGGCTAAATCGAGGAATTACATAGGCAGAAACGGATTAAGCGGAACGATCGCATAGGGCTCCCCAACTTACATGACTGAAAAGATTTTAAAAACCCTCCTCTAAAATACCAAAACAGATCTAAAAACAAAATGTTAAATTTATGGCTTACAAACAAAGCAATTTTCTTTTTTTGATTTTGAGGGGTTCATAAAATTTTTATAGTTTAGTGCCTCCACTTGACTTGATCAGCCTCTGTGCTCAGATATTTACTCTTAAATTAAGATTTGTTGTTACAAGATTTTTTTGTTAATGAAACCTAAATTGGTCGTAATCCAATCGATGATCTTACCAATCAAGATTTTTAGCCTGTTTTTTAAACTAATCATACATGGAAATATGCAAGACACAAATATAAACAGTAATAGTGAAATGATGCTGGCCTGTATTTTTATTTGGTTCACTATATTAAAAGTAATAAAATAAGTAATTTGTTTATTATACTTAGCTTTATAATACCTTTAGCATTAGTCATTATTTTATAGATTATAGCCTTACATTTTAGCAATAATGAGTTAAATTACCAATAAATTTATGTTTATTTTTACAGTTGTTTATTCAACATCACCAAAGCAGCAAATGCCTTTGCAACAACAATTTCCAGCCTCAGGTCAACAAAGTACACTCGGTATCAACAGATAAGGAAGTTAGTTATACACCGCTTCGTATCTTGGTTAGCCGAAAAAACAGATGTTTTGTTTTGGTTTTTATTTTATTTTTGTTTTCTCTTAATTTTTTTTCTCGGATGAGATGGAAGAAACCGTCATGTTGTTGACAATGTTGTGGGTTGAAGAGAGAAAATTAGATACAAGAGCAAGAGAAGAAGACAATAAAATAGTGTTTTATATAGTCACTTAGAAAGTTATACCTTGTGTATATATTGTATATGGGAAGCGAGAGTGAGATATACTGTGTTGTGCGCGAGACACAAACGCTAAACCGACTGTTATTTTTTTATTTAGTCTATTTTAATGTTTAACTATTAAGGATTAGTATTGTTTTATTTTAGAGTGCTTAAAGATATTGTTGTATAAAGGAAATGAAAAAAAAAAAGTTAAAAAATATTATAAAGATTGATGGAGAAGATTTAAGGTAAAAAGAGTTCCAAATATCTGTTTTCTTGATAAAATGGACTATAAAAAAGAAAAAAAGTTGAAAAAAAAATCAAAAACATTTGTAAGTTGTTCTGAATGTATTGTTCCCAAATGACGATACCCTGATTAATATTATTCGTATTTCCTAAGTCGTACAACGGTGTATTATCACTTCTCATCACCGTTGGTTTTCCTAAATATTATATCAGTGGTATTAACCCTAATCGCTTTGCACAAGAAGTAATGGTACCTATTGTAATCCTAGCCATTGCTACTTCAATATATGAATCCATTGCGGATCTGCCGACTTCCAGTTGAATATACTTCTCTATTTATTTGTTTTGTATGAAGTCAGCCTTTTGGTTTTTATTTTTAATCTAGTTTTCATTATTATGTTTAATTTTTATATAAATATATATTTATATATTTGAATCTGTGATATGAACCAGTGAACAGATGTCTCTTTTTCAGTTTTCTAAAAGATTTATTTGTGGTTTGTCTTTTTTTTTTTTTGTTATCTATTTGACACAAAAAGCTTTTAATTTTATTTACAAAAGCTTTAGCTTTATTAAACATTAAGTGAATGTATTTATGAATTTACCAGAGCACCATATAATGTGTGCGATTTATGTACCTAACGTTCGAGGTCCTATGCGTAGATTATATTGATATCAGATATTTAATGTAAATGTTAACATTTAAAAAAAGAAGTGTTATTGTTTTGTCACAGGACTTATTCAACTTTTATCCAATAATAATATTAATGATACAAGCCAAATAAAGATTGAAAGGTTATATTTAAAGGTAGAACTAATCTTTTTTTTTTTTGTCATAGTTTTAATTTTTCATAAATATGTATTGCAATTCACTTTGATTTTTGAAAAATCTGTGCGAGATTGCTCAACTGGAAATCTGCTCATTTTGTGTAATCTCTTATATCGTCAGTTCTTGTCTCATTCGTTATTGATGTACTGGTCATTTTCAATGAATTAAAACTAAATAAAATGATCAAATTGGGATAAATCCATTTTTCTGTGATTACTAATAAATCCTTTAAAAGATTTAAACTATTTATTTATTCACCTTATTGTACCATTAGTGGTTAATTACTATTTATTCTAAAATAAAATAAAGTATCTTGTTTCTGTTGTTTCATAAACGTATATTTCACAATCAGAACTGGAGAATGCCGCCGTTGTTCAAACCTTTGTATATTATTCATGAAGATGCAGCTATAAATATTTATAGTTCAGAGAAAGTTGTGTGGAACCTTTTTCTCTTTACTAACACTGGAGCAGTCGTTCTCAGTTTTTGCCAACATCACATAAATTATTAAACAAAATTCACAACACCCCAATTCTTATTATTTTCATCTTAGTTTTTACTTTAGTTATTATTATTTATAAGTAAATGATTCAATAAAACATAGAATCATTAATAATATAGACAGAAAGGATTAAATTTTAATATAAAACAAAATTAGTTTTGTATTTTATAATACTCCACCCCAAAAGATTTAGTTTTATTTAAAGTGACTGTGATTTTATATTAATAGAACAAGTTTTCTTTATTATAATTGTTTTTAATATTCTAATTTGTTATTAGTTATTCTTCTCTCGTTCTGTATTATTTCTTTATCTTGAAATATTTAAGAAGCTTTTAGTCCATCATTAAAACGTTCACTGCCAAGCGACATTTTCCAAAATGGTTAAGTCACGCCCATCTCCAAAGCCAGATACCTTCAAAGAACATGGAAATGCGAGTTTGATCATATGTAGTGTAGGTGTAGGTATAAGAAAAATGTTCTACAAATTAACTTGTAGCTGGCACCTATACGAGATTACTCGGCAGTGAATGTGTTAAATCCATTAGATTAATTTTCAAATAATATTAGGTTCAGTATTATAATTTCTAATGCTGAATTAAGTTTAGAACTTAATCTGTTAGCTTTTATAAAAAACATGAGATTTATTTGGTGTGATTGTTTTGTTTATTTATTTTGACTTTTAATTAGACAAAATAACTATTACTACAACCCTGTAGTGTTACTACTAGTGTTAAAAAGTACCACTACTTCTTAATGATGTATTGTTCCTAGGCCTGTGGTTGTGCAGGGAAGTGATTTGGCCTCACGCTCAAATGCTAGAATTTTCTCAACCGAAAGACATATAGAGCAGGTTGTTTTTGTCCCAGAGTTGATCCATTGTTGATGTAACAGAATAAATAATTATTTTCTATGTCGGGATTTGAACACAATTACAGGAGATTGGAGCAGTGTCTTTCTAAGCAATGCTGCTCGTAAATCAAATTAAAGTATTTAAAAATTTGATGGCACCCATTTCGTAAACCACTGCATCAGAGCGTGATTAGATTGCTCTACATCAATTTTTTTTTTTTTTTATCCATGACAGCTAATGCAAAATAATAAATAAGTTATTCAAAAGTTTTTACAGAATATTTCTGTTGAGGGAGGAACTAGTCTTGATTACCTGCCAGGAAGTAAGTATTGATAGAATGAAATAGCTTTTGACTAACGCTTTGCCATTACAATCTCTGTTGTTATTGATTTAATTTGAATTAAAGGAATAAGGGAAAGCCTTATTTACAGGGAAAGCCTTCCCTCCGGCATAGATCCGCCTGTTACAACCATATCTAAAAATATTGTAGTTAGGTATAACACTAGAATCATATGTAGGGGTGCCCATCTCCCTTTCTCCTAAGATATTTTATTAGTCACCTTTTCTTAAAAACAAAAGAAAACTAAGGTAAAATTAGGAACATCGTAGATCATATACAATTACACTTGCTGCTGTCTGTTATATGTTTTCCCCTTGTCCCTTAGTCTGAAAATTCATTACCCATCGAAATATGCTCACCTCAAAACTTTTGATGGCGCAAGTTGTGCCCTCAAACTCTCCCTTCTGGGCACTCCTGATCATATTACACGCTTTTTAATGTATAGTTTTATATAGATGTTACCAAAACAAGAACTTATTACTATGGTACAGGTCACTGGCAGATTTGCTGGAGAAACAGAGAGGGGGGAGGAGGATTTTCCGGCTGAAGCCCTCCCCAAAATGGTAAGATATGAGTATGTTTAAAGAAAAAAAATATCTAAAAGTATTTTTGTTTGTCTAATTACATTTAATAGGACTTAAAGAGTCACTTAAACACCATTTCATGTAGGTAGTTTCTTTCTTACTTCCGAAGTAATTATCTTAAAATACACATACAAAAAAAAAATTTCGGGCTGAAGCCCCTCCCAAAATTAAATCTGGATCCGTTAGTGGTACAGATAAACGAATCGTAATTTAAATATAAAAATACCAATGGCAGTGGCACTCGCATTGCGGCGCCTACCAAACGATTTGGTTTGCCAACCGCTACCTGGCCTCAACCAAAAGGTTTTTAGTTCAAGTTCAAATCATTACTCATTTAGGCACTTGTAGACTAATCCTTTTATTTTCAGTTTATTATTTATTAATAAAAAAAAAAAAGCCTATGACATTTTGAGAGTACAGTGGATCCTAATAAGTAAGAACAAAAATAATGTATTTATCATGGCTGATAAAAAAAAAATCAGTGCTGTGTCACCTGAAAAGAATCTGCTCGTTATCATCCAAAATCCAAGCACATTTACAACAAATTTGATCGAAAATTAATTGATATTTTGGAATGTAAGATCTACATTTGTTTGTTTACTTTGAGGTAAGTTGGTAGTGTAGAGGTTTTAGGGCGATAAATTGCTAGATTATTAAGCCCGTTCATTTACTTTGAACTATAATAAGTAGTGACTTATGTTGAATATTTTGTAAAAAACTTTCAAATATTAATAAGTTCCATAATATTGATAATCTAATTTATACACAATAATTAATCCCTTGTTTTAAACAAATTATTTTGTAATATAATTATCCGTTTTTGTAGCCTTACCAAGGTGGAACCATTAATAATGATTAATAGGCAATGATCTATTCTTGTTGATAAATTGGTCCAATACTACTTATAGAATTGTTAATTTTTTTTATTTATACAAAGCTGCAGTCATTTCCATTACGATCTTTATTCTATGAAAAATAATAAAATCCTCATTTTATTGCATTTGTACTACTGAAAAAAACATTATCAATAAAGAATAGATATGTTATCAGAAATCTTTTGACATTCTGACGTTTGAAATATTTTCCATCTTAAATATCCTTCTCAACACTCTATTATGACATGGTTAATTGGCTACATAAATTTATATATTATAATATTATATATATGATTAATTAAAATAATTAATTTTTTTAAATACCATTAAATTAAAATTTTCGTCATATTTGTCTTATATAAGGTGATTACAAACAAAGTGACCAATTTTTGTAACAGAAAAAAACTTTGTTTCTTCTTCGAATCTAATTTGTTAATCGCGCATTTGCTTCATATTTTATGACCAAACGAAATCTAAATGAACTTAAATTGGAGAATCAAAAGTGTTATTAACTTCCAACAATTTCACTAGTACTTAAAATGTCATACACACGGTTTCAAAATATCCACGGTATCCAGATAGATGACATTTTATAATAAAGTAGCACTTGCACTAAAGAAGATAGCGTTTTTAAGAAAATAAAAAAAACTTAGATAATAACCTACACAAAATTGATAAAAAATTAAATATATACTGATTTTCTATAGCTCAAGAATATTAGCAGATTCAATAAAAATACTTACTCGCAACACTGCAGTTAACCTTCTGATGTGAATTCTGGAGAGAAAACGTGTCCACTTGTAATTACGAGAACCGACGATTGAAGTTATCGCTGTAAAATTTTTCTATCCCGGTTACAAAAAGAACCAAGGGACGCCATAAAAGACTTCTAATCTTGTGGAAGTTTTTTTTCAGATTTCTACAACTTATTGATTTTATGTTTTTATTTGAATTGCCAGTTTTTTTTCTTTTTGTTGCTATAGGTGTGTGAGTAAGCAACAAAAATATAAAATAATATCTATCTGTGGGTACTTATTATAATACCCATAGTGTTAAAAGAATTCAGGTGGATGACTGACTCAGAATTGACTCTTGAATTTGAATTTTAACCTGTTAATTAGGTATGACGAAATATTTCGTCATACATGAACTACTACTGTAATGGGCATGACGTCATGGAAATTTGCGGTAATATTTTGAAGGGATTAAGTTTTACGTAGTTCTTATCTATTAAATCCTAGCGTGGTAATATGCAAGTACATTTCTTCAATGAATATCATACTACGAAATAAATTATTGATAATTAAATATATAATTAATTAACAATTAAATTCGTTCAATTAATTTTTTCTGCATTGAGGTTATTTTATTTATATATGTTATAAAATGTTTTGTCGAAATAAATAAAATCAATAAGTTAAAAATTATTTGCTTTTATTATTTCAGATGTGATCATATTACTTATAATTATGAAGAAAAGCCTCCCCGATGTGAAAAGATTTGAACAAAACTTTATTTCCCGGTTAACAGGTTAATC